TCAGGAACAGTGTACCAATCAGATATAGCTATGAAGAAATAACATTATGATTTGAAAACACTTGGATCCTTGTCCTGTGCCCTCTACTGAAGGTCTCCAGACTGTAGCAGCAGCAGAATGGCCACTCCCACATGAAAGGCCATGGGTCTGTGTTTATTTTGTTACCATACAAATGAATTTGTAGCCCATCTATGCAAAATCGGTGGAGTTGCACAGTGTCACAGAGGTGGAGAAATGCAGTACTCGGTGCTACTGGATATCAAAGCCAGTGAGACTGTAAGTGAGCTACAGCTGTATGACAGAGCTCGTTTTTCCCTGGGCAGTAAGAAGGAATTGCTATAACATCACGGGGTTGGAGGGGTGGAAGGGAAGGAGGCTGTTATTAAGCTGCTGTAGTATATAAATCATTAGTTTTCTTTTTATATTTTACATGGTTTTAAAAATCTTTTCTATGTCTTGTTGGCTCTTCTGCATACTTTGAAAGACACCTATAATAATTGCTTTTCCTTCCTGTGTCATTTCCTATTGTCTTTGAAAACACTGTAATAACCATGTGAAAAGTGACAATGACGGCAAGTCAGCTGTAGGTTTACTATGTGTAACATGCATGCCAGATTTGGACCCAAATTGTCTAGATGTCTAAAGAAATAAAATCTTTCAAGGAATAAATCAAGGATGTCATATCTAAAAGGTGCAGAGACAATTGTGTTATCCTAGGCAATTTTGAAATTGTGAGACAAAGAGAAAAGAATGCACTTTTTGCTTCAGAAAAATCTCAGAAGATTTTTTTTTTTCCTTCTAGCAAGGTAATTTATCAAATAAGGCTTTAACTGTTTGTGTAAAACATACTTTCCTTGCAAGGTATTGAACAGCTTCCTGACAGTTAAAATAATAGGATGTAAGATATACAGCCACATGAGTGGAGTATCCAGAAATAGAGTGCTTTTTTTGATCCATATGTGAGGCAGAACTTGGCTGGATTTGCTACAGTGTAAATTGTAGTTAATGATGAGAATGAAAGCACTAATTAAGTGTCCTTGAAGGGAATGTGTGCTGTTTCAGAGGGGTATCTATAAATGTTCTTAAGAGAGATCTCTGTAATAGCAGAAAACTGTAATACAGGATTTATTCTGATCTCCCCCAAAACAGTCCTCCTATTTTGTCCATCTTCAGAAAGGACTTGAAACTAAATGTGCTTCAGATGGAAGCTTTGCTTATTCTTTGATCTTCTATCTATTCTGCACAGTCTTGTGTAGCGAGGCAAGCTGTTGTGGTCTCTTTATCGTAATAACCGTAGGGGCCATTTTGTGGCTACTTCAGAAGTATATGAGGTTGGACCCTTCCCACTGGAGGCATACTTTTAGTGTGGCCTTTGACATTTGCCTGGATCTCTGGGTTGCAGCATCTGCACAACGTCCTTTTTAAAATAAGAACACTTGTTTTTAAGTAAACTTTCATGTTTCTTCAGTAAATTGGGTTTTTTACTCAAGCCCTCATATTAATATCATCTGCTTCTCTTTTGTACATATAAACTTCATTATGGGATTTTCCTCTTTCACTAAGAAGATGCTTTTGTGATTAAAGTACATTGCTGGATTTCAGGAAATCAAGAATTCAGTTTCTGGTTCAACCGCAGATTTCCTGTGTGATTGGTTACTACCTCTGCCTTGGTTCCCCACAGATGCAGTGCTGATCTTTTATAAACGTGCAGATTACCAGGACCTATTTTGGTAATTTAATCTGATACTCTGCATAACAGAATGAACAAAATGAATTGCTTCCATAAAGTTACAAGTTTTTTTTTCCTACTGTAACATCTTTGAAGGTTTAACCAGTCTTAATTTCCCTGGGTTGTAGTGAAACATTCTCACCCGTAAGAGTCTTCAGTGGTAATGTGTTGGGTTTTCTTTTTTATTTATTTATTTATTATTTTGAGTTTTACCTAAAAGTTTGCTCTTTTTCTCAAAAGTGAATGACTTGGTTAAGTAGAATTCTTAGACTAGCCAAGACATTTCTTAATGGTTTTCCTTGTCTAAAATAATGAGGTCTCTTAGTCAGTCACCCTGAGTGTTCAATATAGTTCATCCTTTCAGTTAAGGAGGCACTATGGTTGGATTCGCTATATGTCTGTGGATCGTGTACTGTGCATGCAAAATAGGACCATATTTTCAGAATAACTTAATGTAAGGGTTTATTCTTATTTGCTTCCAGAGATAGATGGGTTTCTCCAGTTTAATGCAGTGACATTTTCTTTTCTAGAAATAGTTTGGAAAATGCTGCTTTGAACTGGTCTTGAGGCAAGCTCCAAGGTTTTTCTACCTGCATGTGTGTCTTAAGTCAAAAACTGTTAATATGGTACAAACTTCTGTAAAAGGATTTTCAGGGAAGCTGACCGGTAGAAGCTTATATATAAATACTTTTGTCAATATAAAAGCATGATGCTGCCTCTTTTTTTTTTGCTTATTATTTTGCCCCAGAATATATATCCAAATAATACACCTCTATTTCAACAAGAATATTCCACTGAGAACTTGTGTTCAGCTAAAGTCAGCACCTTCCCCTGTCTCCTAATGGGGGGCTAATCTGGGCACTCCTTAGTCCTCTTTAGTCATATCTTAGTTTAAAACACAGAAAAAATGGCACATAGAGTAATCTTACTGACTTGGTTTAAGCAGGCTAAGGACTACTTTGCAGCCCTACCAACACGACGATTCAAGAGGAGAGTATGTTACGACAAGACTAGTGGCAAGCATTGAGCACTGATTCTTCTAGGCTCTGCAACTAACATGAGGGGTTTGTTTGGTTTAGGGTTTGTTTTTCTGTGTTTGTTTTTTTTTTCTAAGTCGTTTTTGTGATTTACTTTAATGCAATTAGCATCTGCAACTCACTGAAGTTTCATTTGAGTATATTAAAACAGAAGCTGTTCAACTTAGTTTATTTCTAGGCAGTTCGCGTTGTTTTTCGCTATTGATCTCTTACTGACATTATTTATTGTTCCACTATGATTTTGTCATCACTGAAGTTGTCAGAAGTTATGTTTTGTTTCAATCCACATAACTACTTATGAATCTACAGAACAATATAAGGTTGCCAGCAGAGCGATCCCATTGATGCTCAACTACAAATATCTACTGAATTTAATAATTTGCCATATGTAGGCTGTTGTGATTTTCCTCATCTCCCCTTTGAAATTTTCATTGATCAGAATGATAAGCAAGATGAAGCCAGATGTCTTACAGAAGTCCTCTGTGTCACCACAATTATTTTGTCAGCCCAAATAATGACCCTATTTAAAGAAGGTGTGGAGGCTAGGAACAGCCTATTTTCTCTAGAAGTGACGAGAGTGCTGCTATTTATATATCTGTCTGTTATTTTCTGATGTATTAATGACTGCAGAGACCTCACTGGCCAATTGTTTCTCAGTATTCCTGAATAGCTAGTTATAACTTTCGTGCTCTCCGTTTCATTTTCTAAAATAGCACATCTTTTCCAACTTTTTCTATTTTCTATTTTTTTCCAACTATTTCTTTTTTTTTTTATTATTTTATTTTTGGAACAGTCCATACTAGGCTGGTAATGTTCTGATAGTAGGGATAATTCAAGGCATGTCTGCTTAGTTCTAATAATTGCTTATTCTGTTAAAAACCGACTGCATTAGTTTATCTTAAATTTCCTTCAAAATGCAGCCCCATTTACACCTTAACTTAGCCTTGAATATAGGCACAGAATGGTATGATATTCTGCTTGTTCCACCCTACACTGATTTCTTTATACTTTCTCACAGTATGTAGGTGGCTTCTAAGAGCACACTAAGATACATTGTGTATTTTTTTCCTCTGCATTTAGGAACAGATTTACTCATCTGTGCAGGATAAGTGTGGTTGCTATAGGTGGCAAAATAAGGAAAAGCATGCATTGCATCACAGTGGAAGATGATAAAGCTTATAATCACCCTAAATTTCTCATAGCCTTAAGAAACGGAAGTGGGAGAGGCTATAGAAGTTGTTACTCTATTGTTGTTCCTTCTTCCTTCTCCTTCCCAACAGAATTAACTTGATCTGAACTACTCTGGTAGGTGTTGCCATCAGGATTCACTACAGTTTGGACTGACCTGTGAAAGTTCTCTCTTTTGCACAGATAAAGCTTAATCACATGGTAAGGGGGGTTGACCTGTTGATTTTAGCCCCAATTGTGATGCTGTCTTTTTTTTTCTGTCTCAGACCACTGGAACTTTTAAAAAAGGGGTAAAAGTTGAATTTTGTGTGAGAAGAAACTACAAAAAGCATATAAACATGTTTGGGATATTTAGGTACCCTCACTGCTGCAGAAAAGAAAGGAATTCCTAATGCAGGGTTTTAAGATGAAAGGACTTAAAATCTTAAAACTATGAACTTGGATCAGACGCTCAGGATTCATCTGAAAAATGTTAGCATGCATGTTTAAAGTTTTATTTTGTGTTTCATTTTTAAATTCTCTAAATAAAATTTTTTCTATACCTCTCTGCTCTTTCCCTCCATTCTTATTTCCCATCTCTTATTCTTTTCCATCATCTAGTTTTCACCTCTTCTAGTCCCCCTCCCGCCAGGTTTTCTCTCCCTGCATCTCTGTGTCCCCTTTTGCATTAATTGAGGTCCTTGAATTCTGTAGAGAAACTGTATTTATTAGATAAGTTTAATAAAATGTCTTCCCTTTTCAAGTTAGTTAGATGAACTGAACTGCAACATCTGCAGCTACGTACAGTTGAGAGACCAGTAGTTTATGACTCATATCTGGGAATATTTTTCACTATTGGTTTAGGAAACCACAAAAAATTTTTTTTGAATAATTTTTCTCCTCTGTAGGCATATTGTCACTTTAGATATGAATATATATATGTTAATATGTGTGATATAATGTAAGTCTTCATGCATACCGAGACACATTCCTGTCATATAGGTATGCCTTTTAAGTAGCACTGGATGATATGCTGCCAGGAAACTTTATATAGTTTCTGCATTTCTAGATAAGGCTCTAAAGTTACCAATGGTACTGTCTGTGCCTAAATTTAAAGAATATGGGAAATGGTTATAGCAAGCTGCCACATAAATAAATAGTTGAAAGTGAAAGGAGGAAGGTAGATTGAACAAGCAGCTCATGAGAAAGTATTCATTTCCAAAATGCAGCACAGAGAGATGAAAACAAATTGAATCTTAGATGTTCACTCTACACATTAAGTTTAATGGTGCTATCAACAGCTTCATATGACAGGAAATGATCTGGGCGGTTTGTTCACTTATTCTGGATGCCATTAGTTTCAGAGAGCAACCGGTAACATGGATTGCACCTCGGAAGGGGACAGCTGAACTCTCCCTCTGGCTTTAGTAAGGAAAAAGCAGCGATGAAATCCCTGGACTGTGTGCACGTCATCCAACAGAAGGATACCGCCTCCTCTCCTTCTGCCCCCCCTGGTGCTGTTTCAGGCACCAGGGGACTTTTTTCTGTCACATTCCTGTGGCTCGCAATGCTCCTGTCCTCTTGTCTTGCAGCAGTGTCTCTTTACCATGTTATCACCCTGAAAACAGAACTAGAGGCTCTGCGCAGTGAGCTGATCTACAGGGTCCAGGCAAGGTCTCCGCTAGACCGGCCACCCATGTCCCCTGATGAAAAAAAAGCAGGTACCCCTGTTTCTTCCTTCCTGCAAGTGTCTGCAGCTGGCACCAGGCAGGTAAGCTGGAGGGGTGGTTTTCAGCTTGCAGGGAATGAACAAATGTGGGGCTGTTTTCACTGACTGTTGCTTCTCCTTGTTAGGAGAACAGGCTTCCTGAGAGCTTCCAAAAGGAAATCTGGAATGGGAGTAGAAACAGGGGCAGACGGTCTGTTGTCCACACAGAAGAAAAAGGTAAATGGCATCTGGTGGAATGGGTTGGGATGCTGCAGTTGGATACTGTTTTGAGAAAAGCAACAGCGCTTGGTCTGTGTCTTCTCCTGTCAGTATCCAATGCTCCCAGAGCCTGTTCTGGCTTTCAAAATTATTGCTGAATGAATGGTTTTAACGAGAGGCATGTTGTCTTAATGGTTACCATATAGAATCACAGAATGTTTTGAGTTGGAATGGACCTTTGAAGGCCATCTAGTCCAACCCCCCTCTGCAATGAGTTGGGACATACTGTTTAAGGTACTGGTATTCATGCTATCTGCATTTCAATTGTTGAATTCTCTCTGATCAATAATAAGGAGGGAAATCTATTATTAAAAATGCCAACTCACTTTTTGGGGAAGCATGCTCATCCTAAAAGAGAGAAGTAATGAGAAATTTAGGGAAGTAGGAGCTTTCAAAGAGAAAGATTGGCTTGTACCTGGCAAAAGAGACAGACTACAAGGAATCCAGAAGTTTAGCATTATTTCTACATTAAAACAACCTATTAATAAAATTAGAAAAATTAATAAAAGAATGCCTATCCAGTAAGATTTTTTTTTCTCTCATGGCCTTTGTAAAAGTTTCTGCAGAAAACTGAAGATGTGCTTCATAAAAGACATCTGATGTGTATTATAATGTTGACATATTAATGGGATGTATTTGTTTCCTTTGGGGATAAAATGTCTACATTTCTTTATTTTTCCAAACACAATATGCCTTATAGGATGAAATGCAGAATTTTATTATAACAGTCTGCACACATACTCTAATTGCACTAAGTAACTAAAAATATTCCTGAGTTGCTAAATAAATTTACTCCTATTATGTATACTTTTTTATTGTAACTGATGAAAGCTAATAAGTTATTAAGAGATGACGTTGAAATGGAGTAATTTATAAGCAAAAACTAAATGAAATTTAAGTTCTAGGGTATAATCACTCTACTTACTTCCAATATTCTCAAAAGAGAACATTCATTTAGGACATCACCTAAAGCCCACAGGTTTATATGGGATTTATTCTACTTCATTTGTAATCTTTTGTTCATGGCCTTGGCTAAGACAGATTTCGCAAACAGGACTGAGAACATGATTGCTTAAATTGTATTTCTTGTAGCTTGCTTCCTTTCATGGGAACCGCAGAGTTACCCTGTTCTCCCCACCCTAGCAACTCCCAAATGCAAAATAGTGATCTAAATTACAAGTATCATAAAAACCAAAGAGACATCTTTTTTAAAATTAATGTTATAGCATCAATACTACGTGAGTTATCCAGTTTCCTTCACAGTAGCTTTCACCTTTATTCTTGTTGCACCTCCATGGGTGAGGAGGGTTTGGGGCTCCTCTGCTGTGCTTCTAGGTAGATTTAATATTCTTCTCATCATGTAGCCACCTTTGATTATACCTATTTACCTTTATTCACATAAAATTATAATTAAGCTACTTATTTTTGTAAACATTTTTTTTAGATGGCTTTAAAATTGTTTAGGATTGAGGATGGAAAGCACAGAATATGAACATCCATTTAAAAGGGAAAAGCTACATATTTTGATGTACTACAAAACTGTTTTCTAACACGAACCTCATATTTTTGTATATAAAAAAAGAAAAAGTAAATTACAAATCTTGCATTTATATCAAAGGTCATCTGTTAGGGTTACCTTTCTGCCTGCTCTAATTACAACAAATTTAGATTGTCAGAATTCAGTAAGATGTTAAATTTTCTCAGATCAGATTTCACTGATGACTACGAACCTATTAGTCGATGTTAAATTTTGTCTTAGCAGAGTGAGTTAAGTCAGAGAACATGGTGTTGTTCATGGTGCTGAATCCAGTCTATTATTTGGTCATGTACACAGAATAACTGGCCCTGCATTTTGATCTTTTGACATCCATATCTGAGTACCAGAATCCCGGCAGCTTCAAAATTGTCCTGCAGATGTGCGGCACTCATCAATTAGGGTGTTGAGTGAGATGCCTGTTCTTGTCCTATTTCTCAAAGTAGAGTCTGGTCCTGTAATTAATTGTCGACCCATCATTTTACTTTTACAGAGAACAATTCCTTAGAAAGATAATATTTGAAAGCATCACTGATACACAATTGCTTCTCTTGTGCTGAAACGGAGAGCAGAAGTAAAATACAGAACTATTATTTTGTTTATAAATAAAGTTGTGGTTCAATTATGTTTTCTTTTTAGACTTTAATTATTAAATTCCAGGAATGGATGCCCTATTATGTTTTTTAGGCTCAGCACAGCTGTCCTTGAACATACGGAATTAACATTTTAATGTTTTTTCTACTTTTTGATGTTTTGTGAATAGAAGTGGTCATAAATTAGCATTTTCATTAAAATGACAATTGAATGAAAGTGGATCTAACACAATCTTGTTCTTTCATGGTTTTATAGGGTAGGCATTTGTCTGTGTTCGTGCATGAAACTATTAGCCATCAGTAGTCATACATTTTGCACCTTGAGAAAATTTCCAGCTCAAGTAAGTTAGAGAGAAGGGTTTCAAGTATCAACTCCAAATAAAGATGCACAGTTAGCAGTCAGAACTAGAGTTCTTGATTCAATGAGTAGGAGTTAATGGGTGATTTTGAAAGGTAGATATTATTAATATACAGGCAGATAGACCTTTTAACAAGTGTCTTATCAGGACACATAAAACCAGATATAATCTTTCTTTTTTTATCGTTTTCCTTTGTCAATTCTGCCTGTAGAGGAAAATCATTGCACAACAAAAACCTCTCGTGAATTTTATACCCTATTCACAATAATTGATTGCCTTGCTTGTGTGTTTCTCTCTGAGCTGCAAGTGTACTTAAGTCCAGGAGCAAACTACAGGTTCCACTGTCTAAGTCACTTCAGTGTACAAACATCAAGTTTCATTTACATGCTCCCTCAGTGCCTCATTCTGGTCAATTCCTGTGGCCTAGGGAGGTGAGAATCAGGTCTCCTGTAAACTCAAATGCAGATATATGCAAGGAGCTGAGGAGCAAATTCTATGGTATTCCACAAAGCAGTGAAGTGGGTTAACCTGGCGTGTGTCCTGGCTCTATTACCAGTTCCCAGATTCTACTCCAATATCAGCTGTGACCATGCGAAATAACTATTGCCTTGCAAGCTTGGTGTATAAGTTGTGAGAATTTTGCCATTGTTCTTGATATAACAGCTGTACAAGAAAATTGGTACACTTGTTGGTTAGAAGTGCTTTGACTCTGTATGTTGTTGCTTTAGATATCTGTGAAACAGGGATAGCAAGAACTTATACGAGTGGTAATTGACTTTAGTGATCTCTGAATTGAGTCATAACCTTTTGTTACTAGCCTAAAAAAATGCCACAGATAAAATTCCCTTACCAAATATTAACAATACTTCTTATTTTATTGTTTGAAGAGAGGAAATATAAAAGTTCCCTTAAAAAAAAAGAGAAAGGCCTACTTCTTGAAAATATATGTTATTCTTATTTGCTTCTGCTGACAACAGTCTAATTCAAAAGGAAGTAGACCCTTCTATGTAAAAGGATATAAAATTACTTGATGCAATGCCTGCAGTTTTACATGAAGAATTTCACTGAATGAATGAGTGAATGAATCAGTGCTGTGTATAATGCAGAACACTATGCAATCAAAAGTACATAAAATAGACTCTAATTTTTAAAAACAATATTCTACTTTGAACTGTATAATGCAAGTCTACATAAAGCATTCTTAATTCCTAGTAAATTATTTCGTTGCTCTTCTGACAAACATATTACTGGCAATTCTGGTAAGGTCAAAATAAAGGTACCAATACTTCAAAGTTATTTTTTAGATCTGAGTCCTACCTACAAACACGATTGAGCCATTTGAATGCAGGGACTGACTGAATCCATGATTAATGGATTATAAATGGATTATATAAAAACTTGTCAGTTAAAAAACAACAAATTAACCACTTTTCCTGTTTTCTTCTGGGATAGAGTTCATGAATACCAGTTTATAAAAATGCACAAGCAAAAACTAAAATGAGATCTCTTGTGATAAGAAATGAAGAACTGCAAATGGTTCAAGAACATGCTTATCATTTCTATAGTAAATTCTCTAGTGTTTGAGTGTGTTTTGAGAAGTCTACAGAGAACAGATCTAGACCAAAGAAGGAACCTAAATAAGAAGGTCTGGGGTTTTTTTTGTTTTTTTCCAAGGTCAGGGCTTTTCCTGGGTTTTATTTCAGCAAAAATTGAAACAGATGTTTCAGGCCTCAGCTATCAAAACTTCAAATTTTATGCATGAGCTCACAAATAGTAAACCTGAAATTTTGTTTGGATGGATCATTAAGTGAGATTGCAAAATATTAAAATGATTATGCTAGTTAAATAACAGGAAAATTTGCCTGTAAGGGCAAATTTGATTTTACCAATATAAGGTCTTAAATCATGCAGATATGCAGAAAGCTGTCCTGCTGCAAAAGCTAGTGCCCTTTTTTTAAACTGTGGCTACATTGCTCAACCCCTAGAGAACACATCCTTTCATGTGCTAGCTGTGGTTTATAAAGGCATCTGGACCTACTTACTTTTTCAGAATTGGCTGTTCTGTTCATGGAATAAGACAGACTCTGAATTGTACTTCTGCCAACCGCAGCCTGCAGAGCAATTAAAATCAGGGGGAAAAAAAGAATGTTCATTGAAGCAAAGCTATTATATAAAGTCACGAGAGGATGGGGCATGCTTTATAGTTCTAGATACACTTTTATACAGCCAGACCTCACTGTGACACTCAGTCCAGAAATTTTTACACACGTTCAAGATGTATTTTACAAATCCTGTATTCTACTTTCTTTATTAATTATTCAAAAATCCTTTAGACTAAAAGACTTTAGACTATGAAGATTGTGCTCCAGTTTGATATACAAAGGGCTGAAAGACATTCACGTAGAGCTTTTGATTTATTCTACTCAATACCAATAGTAACTATTCAATGTGTATTTTGTAATATATATATGCTTCATACTGCACTTCAGGAGAGATTAGTGTCCTTCTTGGAATAGAATTGCTAGCATTTCTTAACAGCGTTAACATTTTACTGAAAACCCCTTTGTATTTTCCCCTGAAAATACTTTGCCTATCCATATTCTTTCCTTAATAGTAACCTTTTTTTTCTCTGAATTAGTTTTAATTAATTACTTAACTTTAAGCATGTATGTAGTTCCACTGAGGTCAAAGTGAAGTACTTGTATATACTGGAAATAGTTACCTGTCAGTCTTGGCTTCTGAACATATTTTTTAAGCATGTTGTTGTTCAATATCTCAGGAAATTTTTTAGATATTATTTGTCCTTTGTAGCTTTAGGTAGAAAGTGGACACTGTGCTAGTTTCTGTTTCCTTGTTGTCATGAATAACACAGTTGCATCCATTTTTCTCCATGAAAAACAAGCTTACTATGTTTTGTGGAGCCTTATTCCCATCTGCATAAAGAAAAAAGAGACAGATTTTTTTAGAGAATATGTCTAGATCTGGTATCTGTAGAATAAAGCAGTTGGTATGTGTTTTAAAATGATGGAGATGATCTCAAACTGCACTGATCTTGCCCATTTTAATTACTGTGTAGAAATTCGCAGCCATGCTGACTACTATTTCAGTGCTGCAAACGAGTGAAACATAAATTCAGACTTGCAAACTGTGAATTAGGATAGTTTCAAAATGCCCATCAGGTTTGCACAGCAGTCTTAACAAGAGTTGCTAAAGTAGCCATAACTTTTACTGCTTGTGGACAATACTCATAGGTACCCAACTGGATAGCAGCTGGTTAGTGTGTATCATCACAAATCCTATCTTGTTTGGTTAGTGGAAAATCCAGTGGCCACACTAGTGAGTTCTTTCAAAAGCAGGAATTGGAATTTTCATTTAGCTTACCGAAATACTAGGGAAGCAGCAAATTTCATTCTCTAGGAAGTCATTTTATCCCAAAGGAGAGTGAATTAATACTTTGTAAAATGAATTGCCTAGTGCACTGTGTTGTGCATCTGCAGGAAATCACATTTTGATAATATTTGGAAGCTTTTTTTCCAGAAAATTCTTTTGCTCCCAAGTTCAATAGAAAAATGACTGAAGTATAATACCTTTTTCAATTTTGTGTTGGCTTGGTTCTTCTATTCCTTACGAGAAGGAAGGCAGGTAATTCAGATGCCTTCAAATTCTTGGTTTGCAAATCTGTAGATTTTAGCAAATCATTGATTTGTTCATAGAACTCAAGGACACATTTCAGTGTAGGAGACAGAAGCTTGGAGGATAACATTCGTGTTAACGTAAGTAGGGCTTGCAGGTTGTGTGATCATTGTGACACTGAAGCATTCCCAGATGTGCACTTGAATCTCTGTGCTGCCAGCTGGCACTGCTGAGTGCTGGTGAGCATCCAGCCCTCAAGCAGGACTCCTTAAAAAGGAGACTTAGTTACAGAGGATGCTTTCTACCCAAATTCTCTCACTACCTGTTGTGCAGCAAGAAGTTCATCCTACTGGACACTTGGTAAACACAGTAGACACAGGATCCTACTCATCCATGGCATTTCCCATTATAGCAAGTGAGGTCAAATTTGACCCAGAGCCTTCTTATCTGAAAAGAGATAAACAAAATAGAGATTCAGCAAACCATGGCAGAATTTTCTTCTCTCAACTCTTAGTAAATTCTTTTGGTCTCTTTCAAGTGTAGTAAATGTTGCTACTCCATTTTCCAAACTTCAAAGCAGCACAAGAACCAGATGTTTTGATTAAAATTTGCTCTAGGCAATTCTAGCTCTTCTTTTTTCTTTTTATCCTGTTCCCTGACATTTATGCTTAGCAGATTTTTTACAAGATCTTTGTTTCACTTGCAAGTCTATATTTCAACTTTCTGCAGTATTTTTCTCTGATTAAACTCCCTAGTTTCTCTACAGTTTTGAGCAACACATTTTGACAGATACTGAGCTGTTTGTTATGTGTGCCTTAATTTGCTAACACTAATATCTCTATCTTCCCTCTCAATCTTAGTATAGGTTGATTGAGTGTAGGTATCTGAAAATATAATGAAAGTACATATGTATGGATTTTGAGAAATTATTATGAAAGTTCCACATAACCAGTATGTATGACTAATATTTCACAGCAACTATAACTGGAAAGTAATTTCTTTAAATAATACAGTAAACATCATTGGAAAAGCTACCTGTCACAGCTGGCAGGGTTGGGACTTTTTCTGAGCTTTTGATTCGAAGATTAACAAGACTAGTTGTCTGATGACTTTTAGCTCATTTGACTTACTGCTACATCTTTTAATTATATTAGGACCAGATATTAAAACAAGCAAGTATAACTTGTGCTGCTGTCTGAGGCCTCCCACTTAGCTGCCCGATCTCTGATAGTTACCTAGTATGTGTTGTGATAGGAATTCTGGTTTTGCACGCTTGAGTAAGATCTGTGTTAAAATCAATAGTTTTTGTTTTAAAATAAGGGGTGAGACTCAGAGATTTCTTTCATGTACTTTTTTCTTTTTTTATAACGTAGTTTCATAAGCTTAAGCTATTCTATTACTGATATATGTATCTTTGATTTCTAAATGCTTTCACTTCCCAGTGCTGCAGGCCTGCTTGCAACTGATCGCTGACAGCAAAAGTGATATCCAACAGAATGGTAAGAGTATGTTCCATGATTTGTAGCTATCTATTTCATGGATTAACTGTTTCAACAAATTTTGAAATTTTTGTCTAACTTCAAAGCAGTTAACTGAGTTTTGCCAGTTTGTTTAAAAATAATTTTAAAAATACCACCACCAAACAAACAAATCAAAAACAAACAATAAAGTGGTCCCTGCATCTGGTAGGTCTCTGCATCTGGACAGCTGTTCCAAATAGCATCTTTTCAGGGAGCTGGGGAGATCCAGCTAGTGAGACTGGAAGTCTTGTTTAGAAATCAGCTTTGATAATTTTTGGCAGGAAAAATGAAGAGATAACTTTTCTCTCTGATTGCCCAAAATTATTGTTTCTTTTAGATGATTCAAGCATTGTCCCTTGGCTTCTGAGCTTTAAACGGGGAACAGCTCTGGAAGAACAAGGAAATAAAATAGTGATCAAGGAAACAGGTTATTTTTTCATATATGGCCAGGTGAGAAAACTCAAATTATTTCAGTATCTGACTTTTGCAAGGGTTTTTTAATGCCTCCATGCAGTAAGTCTGAAGTCTACCTCTTCTTTCTTTAGGTTTTATATACGGATACAACATTTGCTATGGGACACCTAATACAGAGGAAGAAGGCTCACGTGTTTGGTGATGATCTCAGCTTGGTGACATTGTTTCGTTGCATCCAAAATATGCCGCAGTCTTATCCAAATAATTCTTGCTATACTGCTGGTAAATACCTACATTTTCCTTTTCTTTGTTTGCAAGTAAGCTGTATCAAATAGAATCTGTAGTGTCAGGTGATTAAGAACAGGGACTGCATTCATGGATCTGGTTTACTGCAAAATTACAGAATATCTTAAAAAAATACAGTTTTATATAAAGTATCAGCAATCAGAGGGTATGTATCTAACTTGGTGATCTGAGCAGTTTCATTCTCTCCATTGACTCCATAATGTGGTGGGATACTTTGGTGCTCTCAAGTAGATGCCTGAAGCAGACAAAAGGAGTACATACTGTCCTTATTAAAGAACTCAGTTTAACTTAGGAGTTGAATTCCACATTTAGGTATCCCAATAAAATATTTAGGAGCTATGTTCTACTTTAGAATGTCATATATAAATTTTAGCCATCCAATCTTTGCATACCTTACTGTGGTATTTCTACTCCTTATAATGGCTACTGCATTTTTAATCTTAGGTTAGATGAAAAATAGTTAATTCCTATAAGGTGCTCTTTATGACTTCACAAATTAGAAACGTCACAAGAAAGACCAATTAAAATATTTAATGCAAGTCCAGCAGGCTTGAAGATCAATATACATGTATATTCCTGCAGTAGCATTTAAGGAAGTAGGCCTATAAACCCACATTTTTCAGCTCTTATCTGTCTTTCCATCTTAATGGTGGATTTGAGGGTCTTCAGTTTTATTTTCCAGCAAGATTTTTTTTTCAATGCTTTATGAAAAAGTGGGTGGCACTGAGTGGGTGACACTGAGTTGACTGTTGGCAAGTAATGATGTTAAACAAATGGTATGCAGCACAAAGCTAATTTTTTCCAAATAAAAATAAATTCCAAATAAATAAATACTTTGTCTGGAAGTTGAGGCTCTTCAAACATTTCCTCTAATTTTCTGTCCCTTCACTTGTACATTTTGGCATCATAACCACATTCAATTTCATCTATGCTCTTATTTTAGCCTTGTTTTACTGCTGCCCTTTCTTAACTAGGATCTCTACTCTATCCTGCCACGTAACGGTTCTTGCTTCCCAAATTCCCACTGTTCCTTTTTCACCTGGAAAAACAGTTCTCACTGCTATCTCTCATGCTGTTGAGCATGTTCTCACAGCAGATGTTAGATGTGTTCTCAGCTCAGTGGCTGCAGCTTGAAGGGGAGATGCTTTCAGTTATCATATCAGCTGATGTGCAGCTGGCAGGAAGCAGACTTCTGTGCTCTGCAGTTGCAGTGGATCAGCTGATGTCTGGTAACTTCATTAGATTGGTAAAGCTCATGAGAGCTCCTCCAGAAATGTGGGAATGGAGTGGTCTAGGATCAGTAATACTCGGTGCTGACCTTGCCTGACACAACACCATAACATGAGGAATCTGGGTACACCACTGATATAAAATTTCTGCAGCGTTTGCTTAAATTAACTGTGTTGTGCTGAGTGCAGAGTGGAAATAAGGTCCAGCTTCATGGAGGATGTTAAGTGTCAGCTTTGGATAGGCGGTAAACTCTTAGTTTGTGCCTAAAGATAAAAAACCCACTCATCACATATAACAATCCATGCTTACATTTGCAAGATGACACATAATGACTTTTTTAATACCATTTATGAAAATAATGTATTTGAAATATTAACTTAAAATTTTTCAAATCTTTTGCCAGGCATTGCAAAATTAGAAGAAGGGGATGAACTTCAACTTACGATACCACGGAGAAGGGCCAAAATATCCTTGGATGGAGATGGTACTTTTTTTGGTGCAGTAAGACTCCTCTGAAGCCCTTCATTTCTGTTATTGTGCTTAATGGAAATTTATTCTTTTCCTATGCCTTTGTCATAAAAAATATATTTGTAATTTTTAATTTGTAATAAAGCTGCCAATTCAGTCTCTCCCCAGCCACCAACAACTTCTGAGAACTTTTCTTCACTTTTATAAGCAAAGCCAAAACAGGAAACACACCAGACAAACTTGTGATATAACCACCATGTGATTACCAGAAAGCCAATTTATTTCAGACAATGGGAGACTCTAGGTAACAACTGTAAAGCAGTGAGTTTTTGACTTTGAAACAATGTGTTGTCCATAAGGTAAAAAAAAAGATGGAGTTGACATAAATAAAAGCATGACCAGGACCATAGAATATCAAATTATTAGTCAAAATTGAAAAGGAAAACTAAAATACATGTTACATTTTCATTATTTCATTAATAAAATATTTAAAGTATGAAGGATGGGAAAGAAACATTACACAGTAGATTCCTTATCACAAAATGGAGGTGTTAAGTGGGTTGTGGGTTTTGTTTTTCTTTTTTATTTGAAACAAAGATTATGGGGAAGGAAAAAATCTAAATGTATGGGATAATGTAAACAAATATACAGAATAGTAGCCATTGTCTCACTTCTTCCCTGTGAACAAAAGATTTACTAAAATCTATTAGTATTTACCAATTAGAATTAATTTGAGTGGGAAAAGGACATGTGAGATGCTTCAACAGCTCAATCTTCAAAGCATTGCTACTCATCAAGGAATATGAGTGTAATTCTATGAAACCAAGGCAGGAACAGAAAGAAACGCTGAGATTAGACACATTACAGTGGGTGGAATTGGATTTCTGGCTTCATCATTTCTGCAGTCATATATAGATGTGTATATATACATTATATAGATGTATTTGTATATATATGAGAGTATGTACACACACATGTCTTGGACATTTGAACATAGAATTTTATCTTCCTTTGAATAGTTTATCCAATGGAAATATTACTTCATACCTATTTCTTGTATTTCTCTTGCCTCTTGCTATGATCCCTTCTACGCAACATAGTAAAAAATAAAATCCAATAGACCTGGAACCAGCCGTGCAGCTAAGGAAATACATTTGTATCCCAGAAATCTGGGCTCAATCCTACATTAACTATAGGCTTTTTCTGCAGTTTTGAATATGTTGCTCAACACTGTTTCACAAGAAAAATCAGACCTGTAGAAAAACTAAACAAGGCATCCCTTTTCCTTTTCTTTTGCCTATTTGCTTTGTACAATAGATAGGATTTATGTCTTTAGTTACCCCAAATATTGCATGGTCAAGGTAATATACTGGTAATAGTGTAGTCAAGAGTTCTAGTAGCTATTGTAATACAAACATTGAGTACTTGTTCCACTATCTTTAAAGAATTATTGAAGTGCTATTAGAATAGATAAAATAACAACTCCTATCCATCATGAACTGTACTTCATTTGAATTTTTTTTCTAGGATTTGAGAATTGTGTTATGTAAGCTTATTTAGTAAAGAAAAGATGCTTTGTATATTACAGTCTCTTTGTCTGTTTTTATGAACTGTGATTTGATTCAGTTCTCAGGGTGATAGACAATGAATAAAAGAGTTTTGGAGCTAAGAATTGTAGAGCATGGTAAACTAATGCAACAATTAATTCAACTTCTCTAGGCTTCAGGAAGACATTTGTGTATTGCATATATATATTGGATTACTACACTGGGGTTTTTATGAGGCTTAACTACAGTTTCAGAATGTCTGGAACTCCTCCTTTTCCAAATTTATTTATTTATGTGTTGTGGATCTGAAGCTTCTGCTTATTATCATTATTATTGTCATTGTTACTATTATTACCAAACTTTGATGTGCTAAGTTTGCCAAAAAGGCTTTTTAAGTCCTCTACAGAAACCCTCAGTTTACCCAAGGTTGTGTGACTCTAAATGTCGATAAAACAACTACTAGCATGAAGCGAGTTGTCTGTTATTACTGACATATATTAATGATGCCCAGAATCCATAATTAGAAGTTTGTTGATTTTAGCATTGTCTGATTATAGAAAAAACCCCTGTTGTTAGGGTTGCTTTCACAGAGACTTGGTGGCTAAACTTGCAAATTCAACTTTCCATATGTAAGCTTCCCCAGTGGTTTCAGTGGGCTTGTGCGTGCTTAGCTTAACTTAATCCCTGGCCGTACTTCTTCCATGTGCTGCTGAAAAATGTGTGCACTGCAAAACTTTGGAAAGGGTTTGGGGTATCATTTGGTTTGGAGTAAAACTTTTCTCTTCTAAGACGGTATTTCAGAGTTTTCCCCTTCCTTAGAAGGATGAAATTGAACCTCAAGTGTCTCCACAAAAAGAGGGAACCATGTTTTTGTGAACCAGGAGAACTCCCACATATGTGCAGAGAGTGCAAGTCAACAGACTGTTCACATATTTCTACCATCACGTCTGGCAATTTTGTTGCTGTCAGATTAGCTTTGAGCTGGCTTCATGAGAAGACTTCTCAAAATTAATCTGCTTCTGCACGAAGTTGAGTTTTAACAGATCAGCATTTTCTGATCAAAGCAGGAAGAAAAGAAGAATATCTCATATCTGATTGTTCTGCTAACAAACTGGTGATACAGGAGGTAGCAAAGTGCATCCAGACCACCATCATGCTTCTGTTTCAGTTGCTAGGAGTTAACAAAGTTTTCTGCATTTGGTAGATGTTATTTAAATAAGTGTGATGGGTAATAAGTAGTATCTAGGTGAGTCATGTGATATTTTGCATTCTTATCAAGGTTATTTAGCATTTAAGACATGTTTCTGCAAATATAACACACTAAGTGAATACTCTGGTTCATTTTCTTGTGGTCTTAAGCAGCAGCATGGCAAACATTAGGGACTTTTTCTTTCCAGTACATTTTTACAGAACGTGTGAGCTTGTATGATTCTTTCCTTTTTAATAATGGGCAGTTGGCAGATACATAGCTGTTTTGAATGTAATGTAATTAATGTAATTTGTGTCTTAAAAATCAAAATATCTCTGTTATATAATGTGCAGTCACATACCCTGCCAACATACAGAATATATTCATTACATGGCTCTCCTGCATCTGACTGTTTCTCAGATTGCTCAGCATGTGCCAAGACTTTAACTTCAGTTGTCCCATAGTTTTGCCAAGCTTATACCACTGGAGTTGACATTTTCTGTATCTCTGGTTTACGTCTTAGATTGAATTGTCTTGGGTAACTTCAGCCATCAATGTTCTACTCTTCTAAAGATGAGGTTAGGAAAAAATACATTGTTTGGATTTTGTTTTAACAATTTGGCTACTTTTTCTTTGGAAATGTCTAGAGAATCTATGCTTTGAAACAAGAAATGTGTGTAATGTGGGGTTTGCTTTGTTTTAGGCAGGATTTTTTTTCTTTGTTCCTCTCTTTCTCCTGCACTCTGACAAGGTGTATGCTTTTGAAGAGTCTTTTATGCTTTGTCATGTTAAACATATTCTATCTCCGTAGAACTTTGAAAGGGAGGAGGAAAATGTTCCCAGGAGGTTTTTGTCTTGGCTGGTCATGGATTACCACCACCGGTAAGATCTAAGGTTGTTTTCCAAGATCAGTCCAAGCAGCATGAGAAGAAAGTTGATGAAAACAAAGGGAAGAGGGAAGCTAAATGTTTGATGTAGAAAGGATCTCATAAAGTCTGCATGTTACATAGAGCTTAGGGGGCATGGGGAAAACAATCCAGATTTGGAGCTGGGCTGCAGAAACTGGAGAGATCCTAACTAGGATTTAGTTTCTTGTGAGGTGGGGAGAAATGTGACAGCATGAAAAAGTCAGACTGTCTGTGACCTGGGATTAGGTGAGGTTAGGCAAAGATAGTAGCTTTGTGGAAAAGGGAGGGGTTCCTGGGGGAAAGCAAGCTAAACACAAATCAACAGTGAGCCCTGTCAGAGGCAAAGGATAACAGCATACTGCTGTGTATCAGCAGGAGTGTCACCAGTAGATTAAGAGAAGAGGTTATTCCCCTTTTATTGGAGGTGGTTGGGATAAAGCAATGTCCTATGAGGAGGGGCTGAGGGAAATGGGTTTGCCACTCTGAAGAAGAGGCTTGGGGGGTCCTAATAAGAATCTTCTAATACCAGTTAGGATGTTGTCAAGAAAACAGAAACATATCCTTTGAGAGGGTCACAGTGGTGTGAAAAGACACAATGAACACAAATCAAACTCGAAAGTTTGTACGGGCATAAGGAAAAAAACTTGTTACCATGGTTTCATGATCCATTTGAATCTTTCAAATTTACAGGTCTGCATACTCTGTAAATTAAACTTGATCTTATGGGCTCATTAGGAAAGAAAATAAACATGACAAACAGAGATTCAAATCCCTTTGTACAGACTGCTCTAATGTGAATTCACTAATTCATCACTTAAGTCATGAGGTTTCTGATTCACAAGCTCTCTAATACATAACTCACAACTATAATTCATGCACCTACGAGTAAAACAGTTACCTAGATGATGGGGGGAGTGCTCGTCCTTCCTCTTCTGCCACAGCACAGGTGTCCCCATGAGAACATGGGGACCACAACAACCACTGCGGCGTGTTGTCCAGAGGGGCTGTGAAAAATCTGTTCCTACAGATTTCGAACACTTTATTGGATCAATCTCTGCGCAATGTAGTCTGAATTCAGTGTTGATCCTGCTTTGAGCAGGATGAAGTACAGACTTCTTAAATGATCCCTTTCCCTTGGCTGATTCTATGGTAAGAAACCAGATGATGTGCAGGGCAGAGAAAGGACTGAGAGAGGTGGGTCAGAAAGGATCCTGCTGGGAAAGGAAGAGTGTTCATTTCCTGAGTGCAAATGAAAGATGGGTTCCTCAGTGTGTGCCTCAACAGGATCAGCAAACATTTATGTACTGCACAGGGCAGGCTCCAGTTAAGCACAGCAAGTTGCTAGTAGTCATCAAGTACTGCATGACCTCAAACTTAAGAGTGTAAATTGAATCAAACCATGTGGCCAAGTAATAATCTTCATTCACTCACTTACAAGTTTCCATTGACTTATTTTTTGCTGCTCTCCATCACTTCACTCAGTGGATAGAAGATACTTCATCCTGTGAAAAATGGGATATCGATGGAAAATGTTTTAAGCTGAAGCCTAGATTAAATTTCAGAAATACTGGAAGGAAGTAGTAAATGAGGCAGAACATGAAAGAAGAGAAATTTTGATGTCCTGTTTAAATCAGAATTGTATTCCCTTTCTGTCTGTGAGAGCTGTCTGAACAGTCATGTTTATTTTTGCCAGATGTTGATTTTTTTTTTCTTTCTTTAAAACTGGAGTTGTTTCAGTTTTGACTTAAAACCACTTCTACCAAAACGTTTTTTGCAAATCCACAGATCCTATCTCTAATCTTGATGAATGTTAGTTATTCCAATATCTGCAGGAAGTCCAATCTCACAAAGTGTGTGTGAATTCTCCTTCCCGACTGAGCTCAGGGTACTTTTCTTCCAGAGCTTCTTGTGCTTGGGAAGACTCCCGATGAGCTCCTTTGCATCTGTAAATTGCCACTTTCGGTTTCCCTGGCTTAGTAGCCAACAGCCCTTTTGGAAGTCTGAGTTCCCCCAGACATCATTTTAAGTTTCGTAATAGTTTGTTCAGTCTGAAAGATTTTAAACAGAACCATGCTATGTCAAAACTGTGGTTTTGACAAAGCTCTGTTTTGTTTGAGAATTTCCAAACTGCCCTAGTCTTTACAACAGAGTTCCTTAAACCCGATTTTTCACAGGTGGTCACTCAGTGAATGTTCCTCATTCTCTGGCTGACTGACTGATGTCCTTTGTGGTCTCCTCTGCAGAAGTGTTGAAACTCACAGCTGCAAAAGAAATTAGGAGGAGTGTGTTTTGAATATTTGAAGGGCTGTGTAATTCTACTTAGAAATACTCCAGCAGCAAATATTCTG